CTGATTTGCTACAACCATATACAAAAACACGCACACAAACACGCACAACATCCCAACATCCTCCATTTCAAGCACGAAATACCACATCTGTCTATCTATTGGGTACGGCCATTCGCGGTTCATTCTTGGGTTAATGCGCTACCCTGCATTCAGCTTGCCACCAACATGCCGGGGGCCGCTGTACTGTTAATATTAGTTCTCAAACATCGTCTAGGGAAAAAGCGAAACTTTCCTCCATTCTCACCACAAACAGCCAGAACCGTCACAGCAGGAGGGAACAACTGGAGGAGACGGTAAAGAATGAATTCCTGGACACGCCTAAAACAACTCGTACAGGCCAAAGAAAATGATAGTACGCTGAAAGGCCAACATACCGATAGCGAGAGTGGCTGAGGCTCAATTGGTCACGTTGATTATCGAGGAATGCTTGCTGGCTTTCTTTGACTCAAGAACACCGACTGCAAGCGCGAACATGAGCAGCGCAACTCAGAATTGGGCCGCATTCAACGCGTAGGCTAAGGTGCCTTGCCGTGAGGAATTATTTGCTCGTATTTCCATCTGTATTCCATATCACTGTTCAGTACTCTTCCCTCTGCCTTTAGCTCGTCTGGAGCCGCCGCAGACGAAATATGAGTTGAGATTCCACTCATATATTTTGGGGCTGGGCGAGACGCTTTGGAGCTGGCCTGACCCGTTCTCATGCGGTTACGGAAGCTGCGTAGTGGCAGCGCCTCAGCATCTATTGTGCCGTTCGTTAGGATGCCCCCTCCAAAACGCGGTTACCAACCCCGGCAACCGGGCTGGAGTTGCAGATGTGCAGTGCTCACGCCATTGAAACAATACCTACTACTAGGTAACATCCACAGTCCAGCACAGCAGCTTCCTTGGGTTCTACCTGCTCCTTTTTATTCTGAGGTTTCTTCTCTTTTTCCCGTGTTACCCTGCCCACTGTTGCGTGTGCCTTTCGAAGCACGGGGACGGGGGGGATACATGTATTATTGACTGTGTGTGTTTGGTGCGTATGGTTCTATTCGTGTGCAGGCTTGCTACTGAAGCCTGCGTACATGCTCAACCATTGCACAGAGTGTTAGCGCATGTAACAGAATTGACTTAGATGCCTGTATCTATGGGATTCCTTTGCAGCTCAAGTTGCATGGGGTTGGGTTGCAACCGTTATCAGGCCGTCTTCGTTGCTCCGCTTCCAGGCCGTTTGGCCGCCGGTCCCACGTCGCCTTGGAACTGGAAAGAAAGTCAGCGGCATTTTCGAAACCCTAGACTCAAGCCTTTTAACTCTGCTGCAGCTTGATACGAATCCCGAATAAGATCGAGGACTCTACTTACACTCATTGCAAGCATACCTGAGCCCTATAGCCTAAAACATTCTGCTGTTGCTTCCGCTTAATTAACTAGCTGAATTAACTGAATTTAAACAATGATGAAGTTTGCAGCAGCTTGAACCATAAGCACAGCGACGGGCCTTTTGGGGCTACAGTAGAAGATGCCTCGTGTTCAGCGCAGTCTGGCTGCCATGTGTTTCAACACAGACAGAAAAAAAAAAGAAAAAAAAACACGTAAAATTAGTTAATAAGTATAATACTATGTACGAGGTGAGTTGCAGCAGAGTCAAATTTATAATTATGTTCATTATAACATTTATTATTATTATTTCACCATTATTATTATCATCATTGCTATTATTATTAAAATTTGTATTATTAACTTTTAGCTCTTTGCTGCAGAAAGCGAACCAGAAATACACACGCGTGTGCATACAAACGCTTGTATGATACGTGCATTCTGTGTATTTGTTTGTGTATACCTACACGGTTATCTGATGCATCTCTGCTGCATATCTGTATGTGTGCGTTCATGTCCATGTATATGTAGCTTTATGAGAAAAAGGCACGCAAAAAGATACAAAAAGATATAAAAATCGGCAAAGGAAAACAAAGAGCCATAAAGAGAGACAAAGAAAGCAAAGAAAGACACATCTCGCATTAAGTCTACAGATATATGCAAATGTATGTGTAGTGCACATATTTAGTGTGTATTAAAAATGTACATACTAAAAATGTACATAGATGTATCTCTATTGCATACATGGGTTGTATGAAAATGAGAAAAAAATTAGGCTCATGCCTGCTATTATTATATGCATTTATGCATATTACAAAAGAAAAAAAGAGCATGTTTATTGTATATATGTGGTATGTATTACGAATTACCACATATGCCCGTATATATATATATATATATATATATATATATATATATATATATATATATATATATATATATATATATATATATAGAAGAGCGTCAGTCTGAAGGTGCTTTACACCTCCAGCAGGCTCAGCAGGCTCGACTGTCTGATGCTTAAAAAACCCCTGATTAGTGCTTCTTAGCCAGAAGCTCCACAGGGGCCGTTAAGGAAGACATTACCATTTATGTATATCGATGCAGCGGATAAGGATACACCTTAGCTACTGCGTGGTTATTAAAAAAAAAGCTCCAAAGCAGTTTCACCACTACAAGCTTTGTGGTCAGTGCTCAGTGATTCTAGCTGTCTCTCAGAGCGGAGTAGAGTGGAGGAATATCAATCTGAACCAAGGCAGAAAGATGAGCATACTTGTTACTGCTTTAGGAACCACAACAACTGCCGCCTTGTGCCTGGCGGGATGGTCAACTGATAACAAGCTGTATGCAGCTTGTATGTAAACACCATGCAGAAAGAGAAATTGAGGCAGCAGCAGGTGGTAAAAACATGAAAAATAGCTGCAGATAATGACCTGCTTAAACTCAAAAAAAACTATATACACACACAAGTCCGTAATCATACAGGCAACTCCGTAGATGTAAACGGATGCAGACGTCACGGCGTATCTGCTCCTCATCAGTCGTCTGCTTCACTGTCAGAAGAAGTTACGCAATCACCACTAGAAGGAGAGAAGTTCAAGTCATCTTGTATCCATGCCTGCCAGCTCGGGTGGGAGAACTGGCTGCCTTTGGAGAACTTAGTAAGAATAGTCCTTTTCAGGCTAATTATTTCCTTAAATTTCGGGCGTTTTTTTTGCTTATAGACTGCCAGTGCATCACTCAGTCGATTGACCAGCCTGTTAAGCTCTTGCGTTTTCAACAGGCTCGTGTGTTCCGGAAAAGTATAATCCGTTTGGAACATCTGCACAAACTTTTCCCACCAGCTGGCGGTATCCATATTTTCTCCCAGGATTTCAATTGTACACACCAGGTAGTCAAATGCCATAAACAAAGATGCCATTTTCCTAACAATGTAACTAGCGCTACTTCTCTTAGATGGTTTTGACAGTTTGCTTGCTGCATAGTTTGCCAGTAGTTCTGCTTCGCTCATGAGCGTTTCCACCTCTGTAGCTGTCAGCGAATCCTTGGCAAACAAACTGCGCATTGTCACGTACGACGTCATTGGGCTAACATCATTATAATAGAGTGACAATACGAACTCACTACGGAAACGTCTGTGAATATCCTTCGGATTCACCACTGGCAAACGCACAAAAGGATGCTTTTCAATGCCTGCAGCACCACAGGGTTCCCCACTTTCACTACTGGTCGTGCTCGCAGCTGAAGCAGAAGCTGGACCTCTCCAAGATCCCAAAGCAGCGGCAAAGGCTTCTTCTGGCTGTTCAGGCTGTTGCACTGCTTCCATATGGGTTGACTGCGCCGCATTCTCCTGACCGACGTCTGCGCGTGGCGTCCTACGATCGGCATCTGCAACGTCGCCCAGAACTCCCATAGAACCTGTACTGGTAGAAGCAGCCGGAGTCGCCTCCACCATTGGTTGTCGTGGTGCATTGTCATCTACGCTTTGGTAGAGAGATTCAGCATCGAAGCGCTCTAAATATTCATCGAGCCAGGCATCAGGCATCACACCGTAGTCACCGCTGTCTGCGCTACCAGGAGAGAAATGCGTCGACGGCCTACTGAATGTCTCTTCTTCAGAAAGTGGCAGCGGAGGCCCCCGAGAAGCGGAGACGCCATGCTGATACTCCGCAACTCCTTCCTGATCTGTTGCAAACCATAGGTGCTCGCCTTCACCAAATCCTAGCCCAGACTCGTCCTCCACCCAGGCATCTGCATCCAAGGCAGTGGCTGCACCGCCCATTGCCAGTCCACTAGGGTGTGATAGAAATGCTCCAGCAGAGATTTGTGAGTGCGGGTCAGACGCCCATGACTCACTAAGCCGCGGAATCTTAGGTGGAGGCGGGTGAGCTTCATGTTCCGGTTTCTGTGAGGCAATAACCCGCATCCCTTCAAAAGTGGATGCAGACTCATACAACATGGTGACGAGCTTAGCCTTCCCCTCGCCTGCCTCCTCACTAGGCGGCGAAGCAACTGGCCGAAGGCCAAGCTCCTCCTCCAATTCCAGACATTGATCTATAATCCTCGACCTCCTGTCTTCATCTTCCGTATCCGAAAGGTTTCTTCGTATTGCTCCACCGGAATTTAGTCTCCTTTGGCTGGTCCGGCACAAAGCCAACAAGGCCAGAACCGCAACAAGTGAGGCAATGGATG